GACTGATTTAGTTCGGGGGAAATGTCAAGCAAGGCTCACACGGTGCTAAAAAAAGCCATTGGGAAGTAGGACCTCATCCTCAAGAAGATCGAGCCCGAGGTGGAACAGAGCAGCCACCAGCCAGGCACTGTCCGTGGGCAGGAGGGGAGACCAAAGCTGAGCTTCCAGGGGGGAGCAGGCAGGACCCTCGGCAGTGTTTCCATGGTCAGCCCAGAGCTGTGCTCGGAGAGGAGGAAGAGCTGGAGAGGAGGAAGGGGTGCCCTGCACCCAGCTCCCCTCGGGACCTTCTCCCACGTGGGTGCCGAACCACCCCGGCGGAGCAACGGGAGAGAAAACGTGGGACAAAGGCACATAACCCGATTTTGGGGTCACAGGGAACACACCTGGTCGGGACTGAGCTGGGCAGGGCCGGGAGCAGAGCCATTCCCAGCGGAGCGGCAGGGACCGGGATGCAGCAGCCCCAGCCCCGGGCGCAGGCAAAGCAGCACCTTGTGGCCCGTGATGTCACCCAGGTCCCCGTGCTCGTGTAAACAGCGCTGGAGCGGGGCACAGGGACTCGGCACTTCCTCCTGAGCTGCGCTGAGCTGAGCTGAGCTGAGCTGAGCTGGGCTCTGCCTGCGAGGTAAGGCTGCTTCAAACTCCCTGCTTGGATCCAGACGCGCCTCAGCTGCTCCCTGCGCAAACCTCCCTCTCCTCGGGCTTTTCCTCGGGGATTGGCTCTTGGCAGAGGGAGATTTGTGGCGCTTCGAGCCTTGCAGCAGCAGCAGCCGCTGTGCTGGTGAGCCAGCCCCTCCGTGCGAACACACGGAGGAGTTGAAACAGCGGCTGCTGGTGCTGGAGAAAGCAAAATGTAAAGCGTGGGCAATTCGAGGCGCTCCAACTCTCCTCCAGCATCATTTACTAGGCACAGTTACTTTTTCCTTCTCTTGCCTGACTTCTCGGGGAATATATCTTATTTAAAAGTCATTCTCTGCAATAAGAGCAACTTGCAATGGTGATTTGTATTGCCATAAAATAATCTACGCGCTGCCTGTTTTGTGCCACCCAACCATCTGTGACTGAGCTGCAGCAGGAGGAAATTATTAATAGTCAGGGGACACGATATGACAAAAATAGCAAGATTGCTTGGACATGCATTTGTTAATGAGTGGTTTTGATTCATAATTCAAACTGCTCTGGATTAAAATTTAACAGATTGAAGTCTGAAGCTGTAATTTGTAGAAGGTGTAAATTTTTGCTGATTTTGCTTTCACTTGCAGCAGCAGCAGCAGCAGCTCAGCTCTGCTGGGAGCCCAGCACAGCAGCACGTGTAGGTTTGGTGCTCACAGACAGGATTCGTGGTGGGTGGCCTCTGAATGGGACATTTCTTCAAGTGAATGGAGAGGGAATCCCACGGAATGCGGGTCAGGATGTCAGAACTGCAGGAGAGGGTTCCTCAGCAGGCTGGAGCAGGAGCTGGGCAGGGAGAGGGATTTTTGTTCTAGGACACGTTTTTTGGTGTCAAGTGAAAGTGCTGGGACTTTGGCTCCAGTGCCAACATTCCCAGCCATGGGAATTACATCCACGATGCAAATCCCTCCACGGACAGCCCTGGCCCAGCCTGGGAGGAGGTCGATGGTGCCTCTGCTGCTCCAGCTGCTGCTGCAGGAGGGAGAGTTGCAGCAAAACTGGTGCTGCGAAACAAAAACTTCTCAGAAAACCCAGATCTGTTCTTTTTCTGGGAGGGAAAAGTACCTTTAACTGCTGAATGTTCCACTCTGAGCGCAGAGGTTTCACCTCATTGCGAGTGCACTCGGTCAGTCACAGCCCTGCTGTGAGGGCAGAGACATTTGTGTCCTCATCAAATTCATTAACCTCTCTGCTGATGGGCATCTCAGAGAGATCCAGGACTCTGGAACGACATTCCCATGCTTCTTAGTCCTTCCCAGATAAACACCTTTTTCCTAGAAATGCCATGGTTATTTTCCAAAGATCCAGCAATAATGTGCACACTTATGATGTCCTTGTTGCAACAGCCTCAGAAATAACAAAAATGTAAGAAATAGTAGTTAGATCACAGTGTATTTGTGTATCACCAATTTTTTTTTTTTTTTAATTTCATATTCTGAGAGCACTGTTGCAGCAGGAGCTGTCTCTGCAGCATGTAAATCAGCACTGATAAAATCTGATGGAGCTTCTCAGCCTTCTACAGCCTTTGCAGCACACACACATCATGCAGAGGAGGAGTTTTCGTTTTGGAAACCTCATTTTAAGACACACATTTCTGTGTGCCTGCTTTTGTGCACGGATGGGAGGGTAAAAGGGGATGGTGTGGGACTGAGCTTCAGTCTCAGCAGAAGTGGGAGGAAGGGCAGAAATGCAGTAATTTTGTGGTCCTCTGTGCATGTGTCTGGGTGTGCATTTTGTCTTAAGGGATGGTTTCATCTGGTTATATTTTAAAGGCTTTGTAGTGAAGTCACTCATGCTCAGGCTGGGCCCTGCTGATGAGCCAGCAGTCACCACCCCTGTGGACATCAATTGTGTTAATGAGAGGGATTTTCTGACTCCAGGGAGACCCCTCTCCTGTTCCCAGTCCCTATGTTATATTTGCTTGGACTGGTGGGGCTGGCACATCACCTGCATTCCACGGTGGGGGTTGTATAACCTCTTGGCTCCGTGGGCTCCATCCAAGTGCAGCTTTTCAGGACTCTTCTACCTGCAAATGGAATCACAGAATAGTTTACGTTGGAAAAGACCTTTAAGATCATCAGCAGAGGTGACAGCAGCAATGGGACCACTCCTGGGAGCATTTTTTCCCTAATATCAGTTAGTCAGCAACACAAGTTTGGTGTCACTCTAGAAGATAACAACACTCCCACTGCCACCTCTGCCACTCAGACAGCACTTGGGGGGTTAGAAGTGTAAAGAGGGCAAAGAAATGAAATCTTGATTAACTCTGACACCTTGTGGACAATTAGCAGAGGAAGGTGGTGGATGAGGGGGAGCCTCCCCACGCTGTGGGCTCCACCAAGGTGCGGGGTGTGCTGAGCCCTGGGCTGCTCCCCGCGCCTGGGCAGGGTTTGCTGCCAGCAGAGAGAGAAGGCTGAGCTCTGGTATCACCCTCGTGTCACAGAGACACGTCCTGGACACGCTGGTTTACCCCAAACAGCCCGTTCAGAGCCCAGTTTGAGTCAGCACCCCCCCCCCCCCCCCCGATCGCCGGCGCTGCGCTCTGGGCACACGGCATGTAAATAAGGACTGTTACTGAGGACCTCAGTGAGCAACTGGCTGCTGTGACTCACTGGAGTGAAGAACATGCACCCCTGGCCAGCATTTAAATATAAACCTGGCCTTAAAATACAGCGTTTTGCAAATGGACCCAACCCTCCGTGCTTTCAGCGGCCGTCGAGCGGTTGGGTTCGAGGAGCGCCGGGCAGGCAGTCCCACCTCGACATCCAAGGGAAAGCAGGCACATAATGACACTGGAAATGGCTCTTTAATGGCTTCTTGGCAAGGTGGGAGGTCACCTGAAGGGACAGTTATTGGGTGTGGAGAGCAGTGCTCTTAGCAGAGACAAGGCCGTGTCCAGCTGGAGCTGCAAAACCTGATGGAAAAGAAACATCCCGAGCCCCAGGAACTCCCAGCACTGCCAGGAAATGGGATGTAACCCACATCTACCATTTTGAGAAGCACCAGCCTGAGGGAACACCCCAGTGCTCAGCTCCATGCCCTGCCACTCCCTGTCTCAGTGTCCTGAACACCAGCACAGCTAAAGCTGCAGGAGATAAACATGCAGACCTTGCTGTTTGAAGGCACAAAAGAGAAGCTGAAAAAGAAAAGCAAGAATCTGTCTGGGGAGCCCCCCCAGGAGCAGTGTCACCATCAGCATCAGCATCAGCCAGGGCCCCCATGGTGAGGGTGGTGTGTCCCATGGGGACCTTGCCATGTCTGGGCATTTTGGGGCCTGGATCCCAACCCTTCCATGGCAGCCTGGAGCAGTGTCCCTATGAGGTGCCAAATCCAAGCATCTCAATGACTAACAAGCTGAAAAAGCAGCTATTGGTGTTCTGTGTCACTGAGAGCTCCAAACTCAACCCTTTCTTTGCAGCACGAAGGGAAAAAAAAAAAACCTTAGTAACGGGGTAGGAGTTACTAATATGTACCTACAGAGACACTTCTTCTGGCAAGTGCCCCTTGCCAGAGGTGCAGGAAATGAGTCAGGAGCAGTGAATCAGTGTCTGCAGTGCCACATGAAATAGGAAGCTGATATTCAGTTTGAACCGTTACATTAACCCAGGAGGGAATCACTGTAATGAGAATTAGAACCCTGGGAGGAAAACCCCAGCAAACCCAAACTCCTCCTGCCTGTGTTGCCTTCCTGAAAACGTTACACAGCCTACTGGTCCCAGTTACAAAAGCTGACAAGAGAAAGGTGGTCCAACAGTTCAACACGTGGCATTTCACCAACCCAGTTGTGCCCAACAGAGCCCAATGTACACCTGGGAGTGTCCAGGGCCAGGTTGGACAGGGTTTGGAGCAGCCTGGGCTAGTGAAAGTTCTTCCTGCCCTTCGTAGGGAGTTGGAATGGGATGGCTTTTAAGGTCCCTTCCAACCCAAATCATTCCATGATTCCATGACTCAGTGGTCATCACCCACATTCTGGCCACTGGGCAGTGTGATTGCTCACACAGAGGTTGGGCTGTGGCCACCCCTGATACCCAGAGATCAAACCACAGGTGACCTCAAGGAGGTGGCCAAAAGGACAGGCAGCTTCTCATGCTGCTCTGTGACCAGCATGGCACAGCTTGTGGGACTGACAGGCCAGGAATGGTCCCCTGTTCTGAGAGGACAGTGCAACCTCTGAAAGGGCAGCTTTGAAGAAGGCAGCAGGATGCTTCATACAGGCAACAATTCCAAACCCTCTACTTTGCACTGAACAGTCAAACAGGAAAGGCAAACGTGAGTATTGACATCTCCCTCAGTGCCTTTGCCTTCACATCCCATTTTTGTTCCTGACAGGAATGACCCACCTGCCCTCCACCACCACAGACACTTCCAGCAGCCCAGTCATGACCCAGGACAACCAGTTCTGCTCCAGTGACAACATCACGTTCAAGTCCACCCTGTATGCCACCACCTACACCCTCATCTTCATCCCTGGCCTCCTGGCCAACAGCGCTGCCCTGTGGGTCCTGTGCCGCTTCATCGGCAGGAGGAGCAAAGCCATCATCTTCATGATCAACCTGGCCGTGGCCGACCTGGCCCACGTGCTCTCGCTGCCCCTGAGAATCTACTACTACATCAACCACACCTGGCCCTTCGGGAGCCCCCTCTGCCTGCTCTGCTTCTACCTGAAGTACCTCAACATGTACGCCAGCATCTGCTTCCTCACCTGCATCAGCATCCAGCGCTACCTGTTCCTGCTGCACCCCTTCAAGGCCAAGGGCTGGAAGCGGCGCTACGACGTGGCCATCAGCGCCCTGGTGTGGCTCGTGGTGGGGGTGGCCTGCCTGCCCTTCCCCCTCATGAGGGTCAACCACCTGGCCAACAACAGCCACACCTGCTTCGCTGACCTGCCAGTGCAGCACATCGAAAGCAGCGTGGCCACGGTGCTGATGATGGGCGTGGCCGAGCTCCTGGGGTTCGTGGGGCCGCTCGCCATCATCGTGTTCTGCACCTGGAAAACAAGGGAATCTCTCCGGGACTTCCACATCCCGCAGGAGAGCGGCGGCGAGAGGTGCAAGGCCCAGAGGATGGTCTCCATGTGCGCCGTGGTGTTCTGCGTGTGCTTTGCCCCCTACCACATCAACTTCTTCTTCTACATGCTGGTGAAAGAGGGGGTCATTACCGACTGCCTCCTAAAAACCATCACGCTCTACACACAACCCTTCTGCTTAAGCCTCGCCAGTCTGGACTGCTGCCTGGATCCCATCATCTATTTCTTCATGACCTCAGAGTTCCAGGACCAGATTTCCAGGCACAGCAGCATGGCCATCAGGAGCCGGCTCATGAGCAAGGAGAGCGCCTCGTCGGTTAAGGAGTGACGAGAGAGCCAGCTGAAAAAAAGCTAAGCTATTTCACAGGGAATCTGGGACTCTTCTGGGATGCTCAATTACCAACTCTATCATGGAAGATCCTGCAAGTTCAGGGGAGTTTTGTGGCAGTGAAAATCTCTGAGACATAGAAGATAAAACTCTGTCTAAGACTGGTGTGTAGGAATCTGATGAGCCACCCAGCTGGTTGACCCTCCCCACCGCTGGGCCAGCCACGCCTGACCTGGCTGGACTAGAAAACACACAGGAGGGAGAGACAAAGCTTTTGCTAGGAAGTGATGGAAAATTCCCAGGGGTTTTTCTTCTCTTTTCTCAGCTCCATGGCTCTAGGATAAAGCCAAAGACAATCCCACATCCATGCACTGACATCTGCTGAAGTGTCTTCTCTGGGAAAACCACACAAGAACATAAAAATAATCATAAAAGACAGTCAGGGCTGTGGACAGGTGAAGGTGTGAACTGGCTCCAGCCCACTCCTGGCTCTGTGTGCACCCCACTGCTCAGCACCTCTGCTTCACCCTTCCCACATTCACCTTCCCACTCCCCTCTGCCATTTCCTCCTCACCCACCTCTGTTTGCTCCTTAATTGCTGACACATCCTATAACTTGCACCTACAGCTAGTGCAAGACCCCCTGCAAGACAATCTCCTCCAGCACTCCAGAGAGTGGCACCTTCTCTTGCTCCAAGTGACTTTCTTCTCCTCCAAGGTGCCCCTGTTGGCAGGGGGGGGCATCAGGACCTGTCCTTCACCTCTGGACCCCGAGCGACAGGACCACAGTTGTCCTGGCATTCGTGCAGGTGGATTTATCGATGGTGGTGGTACCACTCAGGTCCTCACTCTCTTGTGTGTGGGGCTTCTTGGGCCAGAGGTGCCTGAGATGAATCTGCCCCATAAAACCTCAGCTCAGCGGGTTCAATTGGTGCAGCTCCTTAGAAAAGAGAGAGGTCCTTGCCAAGGTTATTCCACTAACAGGGCACAGGCTAAGTTCATAAATTATTGTGGTTTATTTCCCACCAGCTCCTCTCGTGATCCTAATGTTTACATTTTTATGCAGCTGTGTAGAGCAGTGACAAGGGAGGAGGTCACCCCTTACTTTAAATGAGTGGCAGCTCTTCAGCCAAGTCCACCCACGGGGTAACTTCCAGGGCATCCTTGTGATGCCTGGGGGTTGATTTGGCTGAACACAGGCACCGATTTATTGCCTTTGAACACCTGCATGTCTTCAAGAGGATGTGTACAATTTGTACAAGGTACAATCTTGCAACAGAAAATATCTTGCACCTTGCTGCAAACCCAGAGGAAAGACCAAAAACACTTGCTGAGTGTATTTTGAACCTTCCCACTCAATTCCACCCAGTTACATTCTAACTCAGCCAGATATTTTCTGTATATTATGTTTTCCCGCTTCTCTGTTTTACAAAACAAATGAGGGAAAGTGAACGGTAGCCAGGTTTAAACAACCATTTCCCTGGAGCTGCTCCAAAAGGTGGTGACACACTGACTAAGCACAATAAGCTCTTGTAGCTCTCCTCCCACGTGTGAGAAGATGACTGTGGGCTGCAGTAGCATGAACTGGATCTCACACTGGAGTCGATGGAAATGCTTTCTCTGATGTAACTGGCAGTCTGGGATGCCAGTGACACCCAGAAATATTTACACACTGCAAGTAGTCCCTTCACAAAGGGGTTGATGCTCAGGTACAGAGTTAACTGGAATAAAACTGTTCTCAGTTCAGCAGTTTCTCATAAGCTACACTCAGTATGGTGTTGTCAGTGAAGGAGACTTCAGTTTTGCTGGTTGTTTTGAGGGTTTTTATAGACCTTGCTCGGCTGGCACGTGACTGGGAGCTGTTTCCTGTCATTTCTTTCTCATACAATCCTCCCTTGATCAGGTGCAAACAAGTCAAAGGCCCCATTACGGGAACTCCGTAGCTTGGTCTATGTTTTTCTTCCCAGGAACTGATGCTTTAAAAAATAAACATCGTTTTGCAAACATCAGCTGAGTTTCGTAGTGATCACTGGCATCTGGAAAACTGTGTGGGATCAGCTCCTCCTTGGATCAAGGAGTTCCAATGATTGGAGAACATAAATGTTTATCATTCTTAGATTTCTTTCTTGTCCACAGGGAGGTTTTCGCTCTGATTCACATTTGTTTATTTATTTATTTAAATCTACCACACTCACATTGAATTTAGGAGCTTTTTGGGGAGGAAAAGGTGTGCTACATACTGGAAGATACAACCTGGACCTGGCCTGGGAATACCTGCTCCAGCTGCTGAATGTCCCAGAGTGATGGTGGCTTTCCCACCCCTACCCTTAACACGGATTTGGTGCCTCCATGAGGGATAGCATTCCCCATCACCGTGATGGCACCCCAAGCACCTCGGCTCCCCTCATCTTCCCACCTCCCTCACCCTCTGAACTCCCTTAAACTCCCCCAAAACGGTCATTTTCCACACTGCAGCCCCAGCCTGTGAGGCAAAGTCACACGTTCACCACTTCCAACCACTCAAGTCACGTCACTGTGACGTGCAGGAGAGCAGATGACTTGGTCTGAAGGTCTCCTGTGGTGTGTGGGAGAGTGCCCTGGTTTGGGCTGGGACAGAGCTGACCCAGCTCTGTGGTGTTCAGCTGCCAGATGGGGTTAAACCACAATAGAAAGTCAGCCAGGATGGTCATGATGGTGAACCAGCCCAGAGAGCAACAACCCAAAGCAAAAAGAGATCGAGGAGAACTTCGAGTTTTCTGAAAGCACCTAAGAAATCAAAGACGATCGGTTTGGCCTCCACAAACCCAGATGTGAAATCCAAGGGCTTTAGTTCGTGTCCTCCAAGGCCTCAGTGCGTGTCTCAAGAGAAGAACAGATAAATCCAGAGTTCTGTTGAGGAGAATGGTATTTCAGGTGCCCTCAGGGCTGGTTGGGGCCTGATCTGACACAGGACCTGAGCTGCAGGTGCAGCTTCATCTGCCAATGCTCTCAAACATTCAAAGGCACAACGTGCCCTGCTCCAGTTCCTGTAATTCACCCCGTTTCCTGTGACCAGAAAACACGTTTATTATTTTGACAAGAGGAAACACAATTTCACGATGTTGCTCCTGGATTATCTCTTGTGCTGGTCCCACTGCCCAGACTCACCAGCTATAAAAAGGCATCTCCATCCTTTTTTGGGCAGACACCAAAAAAAGAGGTGTGAGATCTCAACAGAGATGCCACAGAAAGGCAGAATTTAACCAAATCAGGAGGTTGGGAACAGCACAATGCCAGGAATGTGAAGGGTGGAGCTGAAGGGGTCTCGTGGTGCTGGGGCATCTTTGTGTCCAGGCTGATCCCAAGGGGAACTGCTTAAGGTGGAAACATGGTGAGGTCTCCAAGCCACCTGCACTGACACAGTGCATGTCCCCATGTCACAACCCTGGGCAAAACCACAGCATGACCCGTTCTTTTCCTCCAGAACATGAGCCATTCACCTGTCAGCAAAAGAAAAGGTGTTTTTGGCGGGGCCACCCCATTTTAAGCAGTATCAGAGGTCTGGTATCTCCTCTCCTGCTTGAAAGAGCCCCCCCGTGCACGACAGCAAAAGGTTTTGGAAAGAACCCCTGTGGGATTTAATGCCTTTCTGCAGCCTCAGGTTCTGAGCTGCGGGATCTCACGAGTACCTCAGCTTCGTTTGCTTCCCTGAAACGAAATTACTCGCTCTCTGCACAGGGAAAAACCAAAATATGCTGTAAATGCAGGATAACAGCTCAACAACCAGCCCAAAAACATGAAACCGCTTCATTGCATTGAGAAGATTTTGGGGATGACTGGTGCATTTTACCCAAAAATGCTGGTTTGTGGATTAGACAAGGGCTTAGCCCAGAAAGTAAGGGAGTGATTGACAGTTATTTGCTGCACAGATAAATCCAAGCTTCCCCAAAACGCTGCCCCTTGTAGAGAGAACTGTGCAGGGCTGACAGGGGCTCACCAGCCCCACGGGCCACGTGCCAATGGCTCAGCTCAACCCACAGCAAGTGTGCACAAGGGTGAGCTGCTTTGTGTGAACAAACCCTCCTCCTGCCCTTGTTTTTCATACATCCTTCAGGTGCATCCTGTCAGATATTCTCAGTGCTGAGCGCCTGTGAGATGCTGATCATCTGCACTTGGCCTCCTGCCCACAGGATACCAGGCTGCAGGCAGAGACAACCTTCATCTGGAGGCCTTAGGGAAAGTCTCCCAGTTATTCAAAAATTCCTCTGTGCCTCCTGCCTTTGAAAGGGGGACACTGCCAAGTGTAAAATGCACGTTGATGTCGGTGATGAGCCAGAAATACAAACACTACACAAAAACACGCTCTCAGCTGGAAGAAGAACGGGGAGGTTGATCAGTGTGTGTTGAAGGAGGAGGCTTGATGTGAATCCATCAGCCTTTCATGGCCAGGAACATTGTGATCTTCTCCAAAAATCCAAGAAGCAGAGGAAGGAGTCGACGTGGTTACAAACCCCTCGCTCTGGTCCGACATCCCCTGACCTCTCCTTCCCCAGCTGTAAACAACCAGCTAAAAATAGGGCTCAGGGATGGCTGGATGCACTGCTGGGGACACAGAAGTAGGATGTCCCAGGCAGGATATCCTGATAAAACAGCCCCTTTGCTTTGGGATTAACCTCTGACCTCTGGGGAGGGACGGGCCCAGTGCCAGCCTCCCTTCTGGGATCTGGGAATGCTTCACAAACACATGAGCTCTGCTCCTTCTTCCAGGGATCGGCACCAGCTGCTGCAAAAGGTGCCCAGGAAGAAAACCTGGAATGACAAACGGCTCTTGCATCTTCCAAATCCCTTTGCTGTCAGTGGAGACGATGAGTGTGGGGCTTCAGGTTGCCCCCTCCCTGGGAGTGTCCAAGGCCAGGTTGGGCGGGGTTTGGAGCAACCTGGGATAGTGGAAGGTGTCCCTGCCCGTGGCAGGGGGTGGGAATGAGGTGGTCTTTAAGGTCCCAATCCAAACCATTCCCGGATTCCATGATTTCCTTGCAGAGAGAAACCTGGCAGCTGAGTGGGTGGCAGAGCTGATGGATTCTGGTGCACCCTCGATCCCAGCCCCTGAACTGGGAACTAAAGGCTCCTTCTCTCATTTCTCATCCACAGTTCTGTTCCCGTTAACTTTGAGGGGTCACAGAACCAGTTACAAAAAACTGATGAATAGAGCAAGAATGGTTCTATTTATACTTTACCTAGGACTGGAAAAGGAAAGATGCCAACAGCCAGATAATCCACAGAGCTCTGGGCTGGGAGATGTGACCTGGGATATCAGCGTAAACTGTTCAGCTGGAAATGAGGCACCTCAGAAGTTACACCACAGCACATGCCTGCAGTGCTCAGCAAGCAGTAAAAGAACTAAAAATTATATATATATATATGCCCATAGAAAGGAAAAGAATTAAAGGAGGCAAAAGGAAAAAAATTGGGAATGATGCACATCATGAGGGTTTTTTATACAGCGGTATTTTGGGAAAATCTCCACCTTAAACCCTACTATTATTTCAGGAACAAAGTCCAAACCCTTTACAGCTTCAGCCTGTAGCCTTGACAGTCTGAGGCTAACCGAGCTTCCAAGAAAATGAAGGAAAATTACTCCCTTCCAGTAACTTACACTGGCAGAGAGTTCAGTTTTCCTTCAGCGAGCGCTTATTGGAAGGTTGGTGCTTCTGTATTTTAGAGCTTTCAGCAGGCAAATGGCAAGTGCCCGTGGAGAGGAGCAGAAGCAGCCAGGGGGAAGAGCACCATCACCTCCCACAACTCCTGCGCCCAGAGAGGGACAGAAATCCACGGTCTCCATCCCACGGCACTTGGACCAAACGACGTCATCGCCTTCCCAGCGGCTTTAACGTCATTAGCCGTACACGTTTGGTGGGAGAAGAGAAACAAAATACAGGATTTCCTGTTCTGCAGCCACTGGACTGGGCTGCAGATGCCGGCAGGATTCCAGCGCTCCGAGAACATGTGGAAGTTAAACGAGGAGCCGCTGGGATGGCCGAGGAGCTCGGTGGGCGATAAAAGGCGGGCGCTCGCTGCTCGGGCTCTCTAGCATGGCTGTGCCCCCCCTGGGGCACGGCGGGCACAGGAAGGTGAGTGGCATTTCTGTCTTTTCCTCAGTAGGGTGAAACTGGTGAGGTTGGCAGCGAGGGCACTGCTTTTTTTAGCTGCTCAGGAGATGGTATCGGGCACAGCCCTGCCACGTCCTGTGCCCGTGCCATGAGTGTCGCGCTTGGCTCCTGGGGTGGGTGAGCACAAGGGGTGCATGGGGCAGGGTGCTGTGGGGGGATATGATGTGGGGAAAGCCTTGTTTGATCCCAAACCTCTCAATTTGATCCCAAAGCCCTCAGTTTTGTCCTTACTGACAGAGGCTGCCGTAACTGCCCAGCTCTGTTTACACATTTCCTATTAGTGCCGAGATTAAACAAACAAAACCATTGCTTACAACCTCTGCGTCAGAAAACTCCACTGCTTAAACCAGGAGCTTTTTTTCCAAGCCAAAAGTGGATTTAGTTTTTTTTTCCCAAACCTGCTTTTCTCTCCATCATCCCAGAGTTGAAGGGAAGCAGCTCTGCCCCCATCCTCCAGCTCTGGGGCTCTCCCCAGCCATGCCTGCAGTTCAGCTTTAGCCTGGACTGGCCAGTCAGCCCACGGAAAAGATGAGGATGAGTTTGCCAATGAATTGAGAGCAGTAAATGCAGTAATACCACCGTGGTGTGGGGCTGGGTGGGGCACAGGGTGAATCAGAGAAGCCGGGCGGTTTCCAGCAGTGACAGCCACAACGTCTCCAGGAACAGATACAGCTCCAAAATACTCTGAAAACGAACCCAGAGCTGCCTTGGCCTCCTAATTGATTGCAAAGGTACTTGATGTTTAACGAACTGTGGTGCTGCATCCACAATCAGGAGTCTGACTCCTGGGTTTGTTTCCCACTGTCCCCTCGTGACAGATGTCCCCTCTCCTGCCTTTCCCAACTCAGTGGAGCAAT